TCTACAGCACTATGCGCTTGATGTCGATGGAGAACAACGCATCGGTGCTTGCCGCTTCCGCACTTGCTGCTTCTTCTCTGCGTGCATGAGGTCTTTCTCCTGCACCTCGGCAACTGCCTTCGTGATCAGATCGCGCCATGCACGCCGATCAACCGCCTTCAATTCCCATGATCTGCAATCAAGATTAGAACGTGTGAGGCTCACTTTAATCATGTCCTGGTATCGTAACTTTGGTTTCCCCATGTGCCGCTTCCCAATACTCAGCTGACCATATAATAGCTGTTTCGGTACCCGCGTCGAATCCATGCGGCTCACATGACCGAGCCATCTCAGGTGTCTCAATAAAAGTATGCACTCCACTGCATACATCCCACTTCGGCGCAAAACTGCCGTGTCTGCAACTCTGTCGCCCCAGCCGATGCGCAAAATCCGTCGTAGACACTGCTGATGGAACCGCTCCAGATATCGCACATCCCGCCGGTACATCGTCCACGTTTCACTGCCGTATAAAAGAACGGACAGCACTATGGATTTGTACACCATCAGCTTCGTGCCAATGGTGAGCTGATGGTTGTTCCACACTCGGTACTCAAGCTTCCCGAATGCTGCCGCTGCCGTCAACACGCGAATACTCAGCTCACTGTGTAGCTGCTGATCAGTCGACATCACACTCCCAAGGTAGCTGAAACGGGAGGTGGTTTCCAATACTTCAGCACCAATGCTGATTTTCGGCAATATTGAAGATTGCACCTCCGGTGAAGGCTGAAACAGACAGACAGTTTTGCTTGTGTTGATGGTGAGCCCGAATTTTGCCGCTGTCGAAGCCAGAGCACTAGTCATGTGCTGCAACTCATCCGCGCCGTGTGAAAACAACGCACAGTCGTCAGCAAACAGCAACATACGGATAGTTGTCTCACAGACTAGAGTTCTCGCACCGAAACGACGGATGTTCAGCAACCCACCATCAACACGGTGCTCCACACGAACACCGTAAGCACAAGCCGCATCAAAAGCACAAGACAACATTGCATGAAGATATATATTAAACAGGGCAGGAGCTAAGACACAGCCTTGCTTCACACCAGAGACAACTGCAAAGTCATCAGAGGTCTCTCCACTCAGCTGCACCCTCGCTCGCATACCACTGTGCAGACATTCAATTAAACTTATAAACTTACGCTGGAAACCAAACTTACCCAACATCAGCCACAATGCCTCGCGGTTCACCGTATCAAATGCCTTGGTGAAATCAACAAAACGCGAGTACAATGGCTGGTGTCGTTCTCTGCACTTCTCTTGCAACTGACGAGCCGCAAACACCATATCTATAGTGCTGCGACCCGAACGGAATCCGCATTGCTCTTCCGCCACGTTAGGTTCCACAACCTGACTGAGGAGGCGGTTGAGCAGGATTCGAGCAATCACCTTGCCCACACAACTCAGCAAGTTGATGCCACGATAATTCGTGCAACATTGCTTGCTTCCTTTGCCCTTGTACAGTGGTAGCACAAGGGCATCCTTCAGCTCAGGAGGCACCTCCTCCTCAATCCACACGCGTTGCACCAAGTGGTGCAGCGCAGTCGCCAACGCGGGTCCACCGTGTTTCAATACTTCAGGCGGGATCCCGTCGGCTCCGGCACACTTGCCGTTTCGCAGCTGAGCAAGTGCTCACTGCGTCTCATCCAGTGTCGGCGTGTCCGCCAGACTTGTCTTCACATCGTGCTGCTTCAGCCCGTTCAAAGTAGGCCAGTCGATTTTTGAACGGTTATTCAAGAGACAGTCAAAGTGTTTTCGCCAGATCTGCATTATGTCTGCAGTCTGTGTGCAGGTAGCGCCTGAACTACCATCGATCAGTGTCCTCAGCGGCTCCAATCTCGGTCCATACACCGCCTTCAATGAGTCAAAGAATTCCTTGTGTTGACGGCGTTCGGCGTAGCATTCCATCTGCTTCGCCTTCTCCGTCCACCATGCATTTTTAATGCGACGGAGCTCTCGGGTCAGTCGCCGTCGAAGTTTGCGAAACTGGCTACTCTTTCCCAAGTCACTGGGGTCTGTCACCTGTGCAGCAAATGCTGCATTCTTCTCCGACACCAATGCGCCAATCGTCGCATTGTTCTAATCAAACCAATCAGGCCGCTTATATTTTGCGCGCCCGATGGTCTCCTCGGCAGCAGTTGTCACCTGCTCGAGAATGTGGTGCCACAGGTCGCGCACTGTGGCTATGCAGTCCACATCACACACGCGTGCAGCCACCGCCTTCTCCAGCTCAGTACGTTTCGCCACAGTACCGAGGGAGAGAATGTTAAATTTACGCTTTATATATATATATATATATATATATATATATATATATATATATATATGCAATAGTCTACGAATAGACATAAAGTCACCAGAAACCATGGGACTCAAAATGGTACAGAAATTGTAAAAGAAAACACAACACCGCGCATTAAAGTCCATGGTTTTATCAGAGGGCGAGAAACTACCCGGTTGCCCAAGCCGAAGTTGGGTGTTGACTTAGGTTACACCACCCCGAGCCTTCGGCTGAATAGCCTGCCCGCAAGTCAGCGGAGCGAATTCAGGGAAACGCGCCCATTGGGAGCCGGTGACTGATTGCACAGTTCAACTGCCTTTCGTTTTTTCCTTTGTCAAACAGGGGCCCAATGCTCCCAAGAATTACAGCATAAATTTTCTGGAATACAATGCTTCGGGGGGATGATGCAAGGGGCAGTGACTTTATTTAGTAGCGAGTCACGTCCGCCACGCCACAGTATTGTTACACGGACATATGTGGCTTTTTATAGGGAGAACGCTTGCTTGGAACACTACCGCCGAACTATTTGCTGGAATGGGAAAATCTCGTAACCACCCAGCTGGCACCACGAAGAGGTTGTTCGCCAATTCAGCTGTTTTGTTTACGTTACTTGATATTTAACATTTTCATTCAACTTGTAGTTCACAATATCGAATACCTGGATCTCGGACGGAGTGTAGATTTAGGATGAAACCACCAGTAAGAACGACGGGGCCTTCTGGCGCACAGCATATTTGACAGAGTATTCGGTGCTTCTGGGCTGAAAGCCTCACTCCATTTGTTCAGGGATGATAGGTCTTCGCTTGTATTCCTTATACATAACTCCAGAGGGTCAGGCGGAAATGATTACAATGTTTTGATGCCGTCCGCAAATAACAATGGGCGCCCATGCTTTTTGTAATCACAAATATCTCCTAGGTAAATGAAGAAAAGCAGTTATTCCAGTGCACGACAGTGAACGACACGATTAGTAACATTTCTGGGAGAGCAGGGTTGACTTGTTTGAATACTTTGAGTTCGATTGTTCAGTCATGAATCGAACCAGCTCAGTAGACGCTTGCGGATTCCGTAGGATTCAAGTACAGCCAAAGACAATTTGTGCGGTGTGCAATCAAGCGCTTTTTGCGTTTCCAGAAGGATGATAATGATCGCCATGCCCTCGCCAATGCTTAAGATAATCCGACCAAGTTGATTTAATCGGTATATGATATAGAAGCTTTTTGTAATAAATCCGCGCCGCGCACCATTGAGTATATTTAATTTTGTTTTATAACACGATCCTTGACTATTCTCTCTAGGGTTTTAGCGGCAACGGGGTTTGGGTTTATCTGCCGATAGTCCCACGTCTAATCATCCAGACCCCCTTTGTGATTCGGAATTCTTTAACTGTGTTTAATGACAGTGCAGAGATGTTCGGAATGAGGAGAGATACATTTTAATCACCATGCTGTATAGCTATATTTGGATACCAAAACTCGGTAGACAGATGTGATCTTTGTCTGTACATCCTTCAGACTCACAAGAATTGTAAAAAGATTTTCTTCCGTACTTCTCGGGAGTAAAGGACAGAGTTCCCATGATACAGTATTGAACGAGTTCGCAAAGTAAAAATCCAATGATTCACATGTTTGGGCTGTATTACCTGTTACCCTACCGTCGTTCAAAAGTAGGGTTGGAATTCCACACCTTCGTTTCCGATTTCTTCTGAGTACTTGCATCAGCGCTCGAATTTTCTCCGAGTCCCTGTTGGCTAGGTTTTCTTCGGCGATTCCAGACTGTTGACTGGCATACAACTTTTACTAAAGTTTCATGTGTTTGAAGATACATAGCAATTTTGTTACTTTTCCGGTGCAGGGATCTCAGTTTCTTTAGTTTGGAAGCGACTTTGGAGCGATTGAAAGATTTGTTTTTACTGTTCAGCAACGTTTCACGAAAAATCTATGTAGATATTACTCAGTACTGAAGTAGGGAAGGCGTTGTGTCCGATTTGCGCTTGACCCGACTTAGCTTTCGAGAATGAAACCGAACACGTGCTTTCTTTCTAGATTCACTCACCATAATGCATACACTACCGATGATAGTGTTCGCATGTGACTGAAACCGAACGCGTGCTTTTTGTCCAGAGTCATTCACCATAATGTACACACTACCGATGATGGTGTTCGCATGTTTGAAACTAGTTACCTGATGCGCAACAAGGACTTATGGGTCAAGCTTCCGAAGTGGACCACGAAAATCACTACTCCCAAGTCTGACACAAATTTCAAGAGACACCAACACTGTTACACCCGGCATAAGTTCGAGCATACTATTAATGGGCATTTGTCCGTTCAAACGGCAGTTAATGTTTGAAGCATCCTGACCCCTGAAGAACGCCCTCGAAAACAGTGTCGATAAAGCCTTATAGAAATCTAGTGTAAACACAGGTATCAATACAAAGTGAACACCTGTAGATCACACTTTGACCCATAATTCTTTTCGTTTCCATTTTATCTGACCCGAACACCTGGCATGTCCGTAAAAATGATATATCCAGTGGCTGGAAAATCAGCATGGAATCCGAATTGCTTGCATCACATATACGCGTACACAATTTGTCCCCATGCTCATTTTAGTTCACTGTATGGTAGTACTTTTTTACTCTGTTCTTTCAACTAATGGATTCTCGTTATTTTAATCATAGAGCCAAAATGGATGTTTCCTCCTTCCGGCTTTGGACGCTGGTCTTGTTTCCGTTCTATACTCCTTAGCCTGGCTTCTGGAACTGGGTGTCATGAAGCCGGACTTCGACTCGCCGGATCGCCGATTCGCCAACTTGGCCCCTATACTCACTTGCATGAGTCGACTGTGGGCACGTTTGACAGTATGGCTAATGGACGATTCCAGATTTTCCGATTCTTCAACCACATATTCACCCGAATACCGGTTCCATTTGATTACGGATTTGGTCCACCAACTTTTGGTGATCTCGCCGCTGACAAAAGAAGGTCAATCACCATTGAAAGGTACGGCTGAACTCAGATCAAGCTTGTAACCGAATAGTAATTTATGATTTTCGAAGTTTCAGAACGCAAAACTGCTTTGTATGTGTTTATACTGTAGACATAAGGGCTGAACTTCTTTGCTTGCTTTTTCGCAAACAGTATCACGGGCATCTATATGTGTACTTTATGGTACGTAAGTAGTTCATTTCCAATCTGCGACACATTTCCTAGCCATCCCCTCGGTACAACGTCCAGCTGTTTTTACCACCTGTATCCGTAAATCACTTGTAACTCTATAGCCTATAGTCTTTTCGGCTGAAGCGATCATTACGCAATTAGGGTTCTAAGCACAACATCTGTACTGGGACTTCGTTTGAAACAAACCGCGCTCTCCACTGTGAACCTAAACCACAGTGACATCACGCGGACCACAGCTTATCAGTGTAGGTAACGTGTCTTGATGAAAGCTCACTTAGAGAACCAAGTGGCATTTGGTGCACCCTCTGTGTGGTTGGATTGCGACACGCAATCTCTATTCAGACCTCGGTTCTCGTTGAAGTAGACCTCAGTCATTACAATACGGTCCTGGTGCTCGTAACGACTGAGGTCTAGTTCAACGTGAACGGACGTCTGAATAGAGATGGCGTGTAGCAATCCAACCACACAGCGGGCGCACCAAATGCCATTTGGAATTCTTTACCGCTGTGCCAAGCGTTGCTCGCGGATCTTAAAGCCATAGTGATCAAGGCGTCAATATTTGAACACTACGCCTCGAGGTCTACCCCAGCTCAGGCTATCTCCATCTGATGAGTCCAAAGGAGGACGAGACCGGTTATGGAGTGTCAGGGTTGGGTGGAGCAACACCGAACCGCCAACTTACTTAGTGGACTTGGTCAACAGCAACAAGTCTGATGCTTATGAACTACAAGGCTGACGCCTTTAAATGATCATCACTTTACATAAGCCATCACTTTGTGGACTTAAGAATGCACTACTCTGCCATATGTCGTCACAACCGAAGGTTTTCTTTTCATCTCATACCACCTTACTTCAGACCTTTTCACAGCCATTTCATTTAACCAGCCGTCTATGACTGGTGCAATTGCCATTTCCCCCACATTTGCCCAACTTCACATGCTACTGGTTAAGCTGCTTCTGTCTCTGATGTATAGATGTGGCCTATCGTACGACAGACTGTGGACAGATCATCGGAAGCTATCTATGCTTTCTTTCGTACACTTCCACTACACCGTATGTTTTAGGATATCTCTAGTCTCACAGCCACCTTGATCGGCGTTAGTTAAATAAATAAATAAACAAATGTTTTATTCACAGCAGTGCGGGGCACACCTGCGAAGGCATGATCATGACAACACAAACAGGTATGGTTGGTACTTGTATAGAAATATAGCAAGTTAGCCAATAATGTACTTGATTTGTGTGTCTGTATCCATGTAGGTGTGTATATATTAGTGGGCATGGTGAGTGAACTTGTGAAGTGGGACTGAACGTAGTCCCCGATAAACGACATCTGCCTTTTATCTCTGAAAAGTTTGTAGTAGCGATCCTTGAAACAAGCTGACTGCGCTTGACCCTTGCCACTATATATCTATCAGTGGAATCTGTTGTCACAAAATCAATGCCGGCATTTCTACAGCCACACTATCTTGAGGTGGAATAAACTATGTAATGCTATTAATTACGCTCTGCATCGAAACTCCAAAATGATGGACATAATCCATCCGTTTTGTCTAAGGACCACATGATTAGTAAACATGAAAGAGCTAATTATACCCCTCGCTCTCGATTTGCGGCTTCGTAATAATCTATCACCAAGGCTTAACTAACCCAACCCCAGTTGTCAACCGCGCTTGGGCTGCATCAAGCAAGTTTCTGATTAAAACTCTAGATGGCGTTATTCGTTCTTTCGATAATTTGTGGGAGTGCGCATACCATTCCACCTCGCAGACGCCCGAACTGATGGCTTTTCTGTTACTGACTGGCGGTTTTTATCGGCGGTCCGCAGAGATCCTCGGAAGCTGTGTATGGCTACAAATCTTATGCTGCTGTAAAATGTGTCCCTATTCAGAGGATAAATTGATCTGAGTTACTTGTTTTCACAACAATCTGCTATTTCTTACTCAGTGAATTCGTAGACAACATGGGCACAGTTGGTGTTTATGAAGCAATAGCGATAATGTTTAGTAGGACTCGTGAGCTTCCTCCATATCAGTCTATGCTTGCTGGCATGATGCACGGGATCGGCCAAGAATAGGTGGTTGGCGTGGAACTTTCCAGCCGCATGTCGTCATCAGTGTCTTTATGGTTGGTGAAAGTACTCTTCGTCGTATTGCTATTACTGCACTGTGGAATTAACGGACACTCTCATGTATCGTGCGTACAAGCATGTAGCATGATCTGCTCGAACTGTTCATTGCGTTCTACATCCATTGCTTTCAGCGATTATCTACGGTATGCTAACTATAATGAACCGGTTAAGTACTTAGTTCATCAGTCTCGCTTTTTACATGCACATGTGATTAACGCCTGCGGACCAAGGACTGGCATCAGTGTACAAAAGACTCTCTCTCTTCCACTTATATTTTATTACCTTGGTTTTTTATCATACTTCATCTCTTGTGTTCTCACTCCATCGCTAAACCGATGTTTGTTGTATGAGAACCCATTTCTACCACTCGTCATTTGTCTTGGCGCAGTTTTGCCTCTTCGCAATGAAGTAGTTCTTTTATTTCCTTCATCTCATCCTCATCATTATTCAACACGTTAGCTGATGGTCAGATACACGTCTGTGATTGAGTCATATTGCGGCTCAAGTAGACCGTCGCAATGGGCGAAAAATATAGCAGAACATAACGTAATGCCGTAGCTTCGTTGTGCATCTAGAATGCCGTCGTGGTTGAAGTGATGGACTATGCGCGATGGCATGGACCAACGCCGCAAACTCCCCACTTCGGTTGCGGTACTACTGGTCCGGATGACTGATGTCTACTCAAAACTAAACTGATGCTCAAATGGAGGTTGCGTTTCGCGACCCGCCGGTCTTCCAAGACTTGGCGGTGTACTCCTAGCAAATCAATAACTGTTATCCCTTGGGTTCAACGTTTATCTTCAGTGAGATCATGGTTGGAGAGAGAGAGGCTAATCGAGAGAGGGAGGAATAGGGAAGATCACTGGTACCAGTTTTTGGTCCTGTCGACAAGTGTCTCCAGTCAAAAGTGTTCATCGTATCTGAAATCCAAACGCTGTAGTTCATAGTCACCAACAGAGCCTATCTTCGAAGTGAGCCTTCCTCAGTCTTAACCAAGTGGACCTCCCCTACTCTTCTTTCATCCATACCACAGTCGCACTTCACGGGAGTGCTGGCATGCACGGTGTGCTGGCATACGTAGCACATAGCTCAACCATCGGAACCTAGTGCGTGAAATAATGTTGTTGAGCGGTTCGCTCTTCCTGCGCCATGAAGATGCCGGCGAATGCGATCCATGCCCACGCGGTGTTCTCGCCAATTTTGAGGTAATCTGTAAGATACTAGTGTTCGAACTCAGATCGCCGCCTAATGTTTGTCGGTCCGTTGGGCCAGATCTCGTAACCGTGCATGGATGTTGACCGGGTATCCTCTCATGTCGCACACCGCCACAACAACACCAGCTCTGCTGCCCGTTGATCGTGAGATCAAATAACTTGCAATGGTTACGAAGAACACCAGCCATTTCCAGCTCCGATCCACAATGTGAGCACAGGACTTTGTGGTCTGTTTTGAGGTTGGCACGAAGTTTTGTCCTGAAGTTTGCGAGTCCAGTAGCATTTACTTCCAGTCGACAAGTCTCGATGAGCATCCAGAAGTTCCACGTGCTGCGCAAAATCCACTTACCCAGGCTGGCAACTCTAGTTGCCACACGAAGACATTTACTGCTAACATCTTCTGGTGAATATTCGACCAGTGACGTTCGGCTGGGTTCTCAACTCTGATATCAGCGTGCTCTGGCACTCATTCAAAACAACTGGATAGGTCAGTTGGCAAGTGTCCATGCCTTCATGATGTCATCGTGGGCGTCGACCGAATCACATCGGCAAATCGACACATATAAGTTCATGATCGGAGTCCACGCTTGTGCTTCAACTCGAGCAACAGTATAAAACGCAACCTTTCCAGCAGTAACTGATCGCTGTGTGGTTGATTCGCTCCAATGGTTTGTTCAAGGCGGGTGGGCTCCATGTTACTCTTCCGTGGCCGCTGTGTCCGAATTTATTGCCTCGAGAAATGCATGAGTATTGTCGCACAAGTATAACAACTGCTTACTCTTATCATTACGTGTGCCTACACCATGTTTGCCTTCCAGTTGCAGCTCATCAGTGGACAGTTTTCTAACTTGAGCGTTACTATCATGAACCCTAGGAAGGAGCTCGTTCAGTTGACGAAAGAACTCACTTTTCATCGAGTCAGCGACTTCGAAATTTAGTACGAGCCAGCCCATATGATGGCACATATCCGGTCATTGATCGGAATTCAGTTGCTCAAAGCAGTTTTGGTCATTCGAAGCTGAATTGTCTGGGGATAGGTGCAGTAAGAAAATGCCGCGAGTGCCAAATGGAAGAGAAGGTAAATTGCAGTCAGAGTTTGAGTCTTACCGGCGTTTTCAGAAACTCAGCAGATATCAATCGATAGAGTCCCTAGTGTAGTTTATTTTGTGCGACGACCAAAATGCCAAGAAATTAGTCTAAAAGCGTTTCACTGTATTGCGTGGCTAGGATACTGTCACTGTCTGGTTTCCCAGATGTGAACGAAACCTGACTGTAAGGCAGCATGATTTTCGGACTAGGCTACGGGGTGCCTGCTTTATGGAATGAAGATCCGCCCTTATTCCGCCCCTCAAATTGATGGACCAAGGGTGTGTGTTTGTCTGGTCCCTAACCATTGACCAATCTGATATGCGTGACTCTCAGTGTTCGAGAAGCATCATCTAAAACAGTTCAGTAGATCACATTGAAGCACACCAACCATCACAGCATGTGTAGGTCCAGCCTCATTGCATTGGCACTAGTTGTCTATATTGCTGTACTTTGGTTCATTCTCACCGTGTGGAAAAATTCCACTTTGTCTATCCAATCCGTTGGGTCAATTTATCCCCCGGCCATTAGTCTCACTCTTTCCTGTTACTGGGCAAAAGAGTTCACAGGGCCCCCTCCTATGCATATGACATGTTCTGCTGCCAGTCTTTGTGTGAACCATTATCCATTATGCACTTTTCGCATAGTACTAGCCGTTCTTATGACGAAGTAAATGACTAGTGTGTTCTCACTGTTTTGAATGTACAGCTCGTGGAACGGACCCGGGGCCCATCAGTCGTTGCCTTGTTCGTCGGATATTGTACAGCATCTTGGACACATCCGTGCGTATTCTGAGCTCCAGTACGGAATCGACTGGGGATAATCGCAAAAACTCAGTATCTTGCAGTGAGCTTGTTATCCGTACCTCGCTTACTTGGTGCATTCCATTTCAATCTGTCAGCTGAGATCCGTACACTTACCTTGCTTTTCGTCACTAGAATGATAATGAACCTAGTACTAATAATGATAGTAATAACAGTAACCGTAGTAATAATACTCAAACGAGTGGACTTGAATTAGAATCATCGGATTTAGTAGTCAAGGATTTGGGCCGGGAGAACGAATGTGAGATCCCTACTGACTTCCTGGCTGCTTGACACACATGAAAGCACTCACGTGATCTTATCCCGATTTATAGGCGGGTCTGGTGTCTTAGCCAGTTTTGGTGTTTGATACATCTACCGAAGTTATGTTTTCTTTTTTTAAAAATGTAATCCTTTGACTCCTCATTTGCCTCATCTGCTCTGTTGATATTCTCGTACACTCTTCCATATCTCAGACTCTCAACCTAACACTCGATTGGTAGAACTGCTGAAGTGGGCCGTGAACACAACCGTGAACGTTCTTATTTATTCAGGTGAGAAGTACGGCTTTCTTACAGGAATCCAGGTCTCACTGATGCACCATAAGTGTGTGATTCATTTTTCTCGCTATTGACTGATACCCACACTCTGCAGGCTTCAAGGGAAACATTTCTGAACCGGTTTGCCACATGTGTCTTCATCGGCAGCAAATGTCCCACATTCAAACTGAAAGCATAATTGTGCCACTGATCTTTGTTGCTTCAGCGATGTATCGAGCACATCGGGTGGTATTTTCATAGTGAATAGGCAATAGCAATACCGTAGGGGACACTACCCATGTTTTTATGAGCTAGCCTCCATTCATTTTGTGCATCTAAACCACCTGCTCATCTAACGCGTCTGGACTGAGTGAATCTATGCATGTGTGCGCAAAAAGAGACCGATTGAAGTTGCCACAAGACTTTTTGACCGGAGCCGAAGCTAGCCGTCGTTGCGTTTTTGCTTTGGACTTCTAAATTGTTGCAGTCCGGCAGGGATTCCCTCCCCCTTCTTTCTTGTGCTGTTGAATTTCTCGATGTGATTGTATCACGATGCGCAAGTTCGATTTGAACTGCCAGCAACTACGCCTTGTTAACACAATTAGTTGGATCGTATACAATGTAGGTGAATTATAGGCCGTTCCTCTTCCCCCTCAGTAACTTTTTTGTACGAACCTCTCTACGAATTGTCTGGGGCATAGTTCAGGATCTATCCACCAAAGGGTGTGCCTTTTTGTTAGGAGTAACCACCATTTCAATGTTTTGCAACGCACTGTATTCCTCTAGAACGAGCATTCTCGAATGTGAATCGGAAACGTCCCAATGGCTAATTTCCATTCACACTGGCAGTAGCCGCTGCATTGCTTGCTTTCAAACGAGTCTGTCACTAACGCATCCGTTTCCATTTTTTTGAACTCACTACGCGACTAGTATCTTTTTGTCACCCTTAGCGCGATATACCTCTTCGTGTCCGCCAGCTGTGATACTTCATTCACTCGATCGATCTGTCGCTGCTCTTGCAGACAGCAGCCATTTTGGGTGTGCCGTGGAAATGATCGGTATTTGGTTTTTTTCACTAACACGGGAGTGAATGACATGGCTTCGTTTTCCACCTTTCATGCGGTCGATTTTGTGCCCAGATCCATGTGAATCAACCTCACTATCTCTCTCGAATGCAGTCGTTTTAGGTCGACTCCTTGTCCGTAATCTGCGATACACGGGTATAGCGCAGCAACAACCATCTTGTTGCCTTAAAACTACCATGGATCTAATACGCTTTGGGTTCCGCACGGCCTTATTCGTCTCCGCGGCTCGTAGTCCCCGTCATCGATGGTAACGGTTCACTAGCGATTCATAGTTGGCAGCTCTTAAGCATCACTTTGAGTTGCTCCATATCTTATGTTATCAACCTTTTTACACTTTGGTATCACGTTATAAATTATTCTGTAGCGTGGCAATCTCATTACAACACCTTCCCCATGATCACTTTCCACTCTGCTTATGTATGTAATTCACTGAAAACCACCGTATGTAGCCCATATCCAAGCGCATTCATCTGTAGCGTTGTGCCCCATTCAACACGTGCCTCCGCTAAGGTATTGGATCCCGGGTCCTTCTAAAGAAAAAGGTGTTTCTATAAGCTATAAATGGGCAAACGGTTGAGCTTTGCGACATTGTCTTCATTAGAACAATCCTCGCTAGTTCGCTACCGGCTACCAAGTGTGATTGCATCGTAGTGGTTTCGGTGATGATGCTTCCTGGTGACCGGATGTCCATTTATTCTTTATGTATCTAACCTCATCGGGCTTTTACTAGCGTCATCAAACTCGATAGTCAGGTCGAGTAGTTCAACTATTCACCTCTACGTGCCACATTCCGTTTCGTTTTTTCCGATGTTGCAGGATTCTCCCTATTGTCTCATTTCGTTGCACCCAGTAGAACCGACACGGCTTAACTATCTGCTTACCTGGCCGCGGCTTGATAAGACGAAATTCACATGTTCTTTGCATACATTCTCAGTGCTACTAATCTAGGTTGTCAATTGCCACCCTCATTACAGCTTCAATCTGCTTCGGTAGTATCCTTCACTCGTTCTACCGATCCCTCTTCAATATATTATGTGACGTTACCTAAACTTTCCTGTGATGATCGCTCTAATCCGTCGATAGTATCCATAGTTATTGTCCCCACGCACTTCCTCCTTATCTGGTGGTTTAAATTTTTGCCTTATTCTCCTCTGATTTCCAGTCAACTACGAAAATAAGTTGTTGTGCTTCTTGAAGTCTTTCGATCCCACGACCGGAGTGATTGTATCGCCTCATCCAGCCAATTTGCACTTGGCCACAGTTGGTCGATCCCCAAGCCCGGATTCGCTTCCGAAGTCCGGCGATGATCCATTTGACATACCAAGTAGCACAGGTTCCTCTCCTACGCGTTCGTGCTCCATTTCTTGTTCGGTCCCGGACGCTACGCCTCCATGGGCCTCTCCCCAGTGCAACAGCAGTCCTTGTTTAGCTTTTCAACAAAGTTTAGATCAGGCCCTGATCACCTTGTTGTTCAACACCGCCTCGGATATACAAGTAAGCTAGCATGACTACACTGCTCTTCAGCCCATAGTACCTATGAAAAACGGGTCTTTCATGACACTGCTGTGATTTACTTTGCAGAACGGGATTGTGTTTCTTTCGGCCACGCCCCAGGCGAAATCAACAATCCAATCCGATTGTTTTACTGTGTCATGTAAAGCAATAGGGCGACTTTTGTTGTCAAAGACCCAACCGCCCGTTGTTGAAGTTGCGATGGATCCAGTGGCCTCATACCTCTTGAAACTTTGCAACGAAGCACCGTCTCTGTTGTCCTCTTTTCTCACCAGTGCACCTCATTTGGTACGTTCTCCCATTCTAACGTACCCGTCGTAATGCGGGGTGTCGCTGTTCACAATTGCTTCAACTTCACTTCTTCCACCCCATTCCTTCCCATTCAGTTTTCACTGGTATTTTGGACTAACCTGTCCGAACTTCAATTTTGGTTGTCTCGCCTCAAAGACAGTGGTGTTCTGTGTCCGAATACACTGTCCTGTCGTCCGACCTCGTCCAGTCATCACACAACTCGCTCGCATTCTCTATCTCGTCTCAACAAAGCCTATTCCATCGATCTTACTCTCCGCCGCTTGGAGCAACTGTTGTTTACGGTCCAGTCCCTGCTTACCTTACGCACCGCGTGTCCCTCGACTAAATCGCATGGCCGCTTTTCATACGCCACTATAATCAAACATCGTAGCCTTCTGTTGTTGGCTCATCAAAAGAATAAGGAGAACTGGTCCTCTTCTTTACCACAACCGCCTGAACACTACTCAGCGTCCCCAGTGACGACTAAGAGTATGACAATGGTGAGTCTTTCCCCCTAGCAGCACTCGTCATTCAAGCGCTGTAAGGCACGGGCCTAAGCTGCTGCATAGAAATTTAGGTACTCCGGCTAGCTTCTATATTCAGCTCGTATACACATGGCTGATTCTGCATGGTTTTCATATTCTTTAACTAGCTGTTATAATCAAAACTGGGTCAACATCGTACCGTAGTATTTTCGCCTTGTTCTCTCTTCACACAGGCACGCCTTTCTACTTTGGTCAATCTGCTACTCGCCTCATTTGCTGGTACAGAGAGTTTCAACACAAAGGCACTCGAGCAGGATGGCACATTACCAAAGAAAACACATCCAACTAGCAAGCTCCTCTCGACCAGGCGACTTTCCAGCCAAGCTCATCGCTTGTGTGTTGATGGAAATGGAGCTTGGCGTGACGCCTTTGGCGAGCGGTTGCGATTAGCCGGTCCCTTGGGTACCATCCTGTGGGCACGATTGGCCGATCGACTGGATCACGCTAAGTGAGTCTTTGGGAAGACATCCGATATCCCAATCCTCGGGTATTGCAAGCAGGTGGTATATTTGGTCACGTTTCTTTGTACCAAACAGCTACAAACTACAACAACTACCTTCCTCGTAGGCACCACGCTATGGCATAGGACGTAATGTTTTCTCCTACAGCTCGCTAAGACACTGATGGTGTAGTATAAATTTTGCCAGTTGCTGAAAGTAATCGCACCTGTCCAACTCCATTCACCGCGGTCTTCGACGGTACAGTCTTGGTCAGTTTTGATGGCTTATCTGTCCCATGGCGCAGTGCACCCCAAGACTTTCCCATTTTCCAATTCTCGGTATATACTTTCTCTTTTTCTGGGACATATCAGGTTTATCTGCACAAACGCATCCTGCACACCTATTATGGGATGTTTGAGTGTGGTATCTGCTACCTTTTTGTGCTCACTGGTAGCTATTGACTGCTTTGATGAACGGCCACTGTCGTGTATGCTGAACATAACTGATTCATTTAGGGAGATTCCTCATAGTATATTACTGCTGTACCCACCGCGGGCACTCCAAGACCTAACAATGAACTTCTAACCGCTGTGTCAGCCGCTGCTCTCAGACCTCTGGTCTAGTGACCGAAACGTTAGCCGTCAACCGCTGTTAGTCACGCGTTCAACTCTCAGCTCAAAGTACCTATATTTGAAGAGTCCAGATCAGGACGCGAAACCAGTCGTGGAGTGTACTGTTGAAAAAAAACGTGTATGAAGCTCTCCGATTCTCACAATAGTGTTATTATGCATCTGTGCAGAATGACTGCGCATTCCCAGTGCGTAGCGAAAACCCACAGCAAGGATCGTTCGTGTAGAGTATAGTAAAATCGGCCGTTTCCGTCCACTCGCACTCAGGTTGATCACTGCTAAAGTGCACTATTCACCTAAACACCAAATAAACAGTTTGTGTCCTTCCGAATCTTGTAATCAGTGCTTAGTTTAATCAGATTTACGCAATAAATAGCGACAGTTTTGATTTGAACTCGATGACCAAGCGATCTATTTTTTTGGCTTTTACCGAGTCTGTGGAGCCATTCTCACCTTCTTGTGGTACATCTAAATACAGCTGAGTCATGTGCAACTATTGGAATCGGTCTGCGGTTAACTGAGTTCCACTGGGCAATTTGAGCGCCGCTTTCAACGTATGGTCCTAGTTTCTCAGTCTCAGTGTGGAGTGGTATGCTAGAACTTACTTCCGAGTGCACAGACCGCGGTGAGCCTTTAGTGTAACTGTGAATCGCTCATCAAATTTTTTCAAGTGACACTGCCTTTGGATGCAATAGACACTGGAGGTGCCACGTGTTATCTTCCGATCATTGACTGTTGATGGACCTGAATTGATTGCATCACCATTGCGTTCGAGTAGCGTGCATCTTTCCTTTACTGCCACATGGAACATGTGCACACATTGTGATCACGCTTCCGTACGTTTCAAATTCCCTAAACTTTGTTGGCAGGCTCGACTTCTCTCAATTTGTAACCGAGAAGCCATCTCAAGTCACGTTGAGGCGAGTCTGCAAGCGCACCCTGCGTATTAAAGTTTCAGTGGGTTGCTCTGAGGAAATGGCGTTGCGACAGAACAGGATATTGGTGGTCATGTGTGGTACATCAGTCTGCTTACGGCACTCCCATTCTCTTGCGTACCGGACAACCAATATCCGAAATAATGGCTAGCGTGTTGAGACCCAGAACAATCCATGCAGCCACTGAGCACAGTGCAACCAGAAGAGGCACCAGGGGCGAGCTAGAAAGAGGCTATCGAGCTGACGGTGAAGCTTGTTTTCCTCAAAGAGCTCAATGAAAGTGTGGGGCGCGTGTTTGCGAATATCAGTTCGCTCATTGCGAAAGCTAAAACTGCTTTCATCAATCCACAACATCTTTATCTTTAGCAAACTTCCAATTGGCCCCCAGAACTGCATCTGCTTGATCACTGTACTGGCGGTCTTCGTCTGCATTAGTGAGAATTGGTCTATCTAGCGATCTCATGCGCCTTCAAATCTTTGATGGTCTTTGCTTCAGATACATCGCTAGTTTCGGTTGACGGCATCTTGACGGCAACGCTAGTGTTCTAACGATCTATACGCAGTGGTGATCAAGAGTATTTTGGCGCCACAATCAAAATTGAGTAGGCTCCTCTCCCTTGGGCACGTGCCTACTCATCGCTTACTGAGGGGGTCTTGTTTGACCTACCTCACGAAGGATGTTGTAAGACCCCAGGTGTGGAGCACTCATAGACCTGGACACGAGGCCACTGAGTACTAAGGCACTACCAATCCGTCTTGTCTCTTTGAGTGAAACCTACGTATTGCATTTGTGCTTAGCACAGGACATTACAGGATAGCACACGCGAATGACGTGTACATTTTCACAACTGGACTGTAGGACTTAATTGTTAGTGAGTCGTTCCTTACCGTTGGTTTGTATGTGCATGGGAAATCCACAGCTTACCTTACTTTAGCCAACTTATCTTCACTTGTTAGTCAGTTGCTTGTAGAAATACAGATACGTTTTGGATTTGTTGCTTTCGTTGTACTCCTAGTCGAGCACTAGCTCCGCTTTCACTGTTCTTCTTGCGCCTTATTGTTAGTACAGTGTATCAGAACTTAAAGTTCCATGTCGGCAAATTGCTTGCACATTGTCGTGATGTTTTTGTTTTTGTTAACTTGGCCCTCTCACCAGCTCACTGCGAGCCAAACTTCTGAGCTCCTCTGTATAGACTGTTGCATTCGTGTCTCGTGACACAGTGTGGTGAAACTGCGATGAAGATGGATTTTCACACAGCAATTGATGCCGACTTCGTCGTGGCTATAAACTTTCTCACTTTTTACCGGATGCAGGCAGCAATTCACAGAGACTGGTGGGAATCGTCCTCTCAAACGTCAGTTTGATAGTCCGGTGCGCTTACCACCAGGTACAGGCTACAAGAACGCACCTTTCTGTCGGTGATGTACGTCACTTCACACAATGTTGGGCGTTACAATGACTGTACCTATCTACACATACCCAACGTATATAGTCGCTATGAAGCACGAGGGATGCTAATCTTCAGTAATTCGAAAATTCTCATTTATTGGAATGAACCAAAGTGAGGCAAGTACTGGGTAATGGACTCTTTTCAATAAAACTCACCAAAAGCAGACGCCCTTGCTTCTCCCGCAGCCTGCAGCTGCCGTTGTTAAAGTGATTTACACTTGTGCTTAACCTACTACCTTCAGTAGCAACGTGGTTTATCGATTTGGTCGTTGGAATTAAGCATCCGAATCAATATTCAACCCACTTCGTCACATCTTCATTATGTAAACTTCTTTGCCTGATGAGTTTTACCGAAAAGAATTATTCGCTCAGTACTTGCCTCTGATACACTGTATACAGCTGCGCACCGCGGCCTCCATCATCTTCATTCCCCTTTAATCCTAAAACAGCTTCTCATTGAAGTGGCCCTTATTTCAGGCCATTTTCCAGAGCATCTTTAAAAGGAAAATCTGTCCACCTTCTACCCCAAGCCATCCATTCGTAGCTTTGGCAATCACACTTTGTGACATTGCCGGCAGCTTTTCTGAGGTGTTGCAGAACGTGGTACATCCGCGCCGGGATGACTTCCTTTTGCTGGCATTGCCAATGATCGTGCCCTCATTCCGCTTCATTTGGCTGTTTCCTTGTGAAACGCGTCTGTGCGGATGTATTTGAACATCGCTTTGTGTGGTGGGTCTAACTCCCACCGAGCACGCATGACTGCTCCTCTTGCGTCAAAAGTGGAGTTACCACAGCTCTTTGTGTTGCTGAGTCATGCAATGCGCACTAGCTGTGTATTATTCATATGAGAAAATCTCCCCTGATGCAGTTGATGGCTAACTTCGGTACTACCAACCTCCCTTTGGAATCCACTGAAAGTGCGATACAAGCTGTCTTCCATGAAATCTATCGTGAGTTGAGTGAATCACGGAGTTGGGTTCGATGAGAGTTTACTCGAAAAGAATTCTTAACCAACCATATATTTGGTCTTAATTTTAACGCCTGTACAGACGACTACTCCACTTATTAAATACTTTATCCTGTACTGCACTGGGGACATTAGGTTGCTGGGTTTGACTGGTGGGGTCCAAAAATTGGCCACCATTTTGACCGACCTGCCGTTATCGACATCTTCGCGCTCGGTCTACATCCATGCATTGGCCAAGTGCCGAACAACATCAAAGTCATCGCAACACCGAGCACCAATCTGCTTCAGTGGCTCTGCTCACCGTGACCATAATAATGCTACTGCATAGCAGTGGGTAACTATGGCTGACTTTTGAGTAGAAGGAATTTTGTGAGTATTTTTGTTCGCCGCAGTCAGCCGACTATCCAGATAAGTCAACTACCTTTCCGGAAAAGCACCAAACGGCCGTTTCGTCCTATTGGGGCTCGTCAGTGGTGCGCATCCTTCGGTCCTCTACGGAGGATCGAACCCATGACTGCTAGTGGCTTGTGCTAACTGGCCCGCAGCTTATGCAACTGCGCCACGAAACAAACAAGAACCAAACATGCAAAGGGAAAATCATTAGAAAAGGGTTGCAATCGTCGAAAATTTTCGCGTCTGGGAGCCAGAGACCAAGCACTAGAAAGTCACTAGCTTCAAGGTTGTCCATGTGAAATGAAACACGAAACACCTGTAAGCAGCAGACTTACGCATGATTGATCAGCGGTAAACAGAGTCGGTGGTAGTGCTTACGCAGCAGTTTCATCATAGATCCAGTTTTAAGATGGATTACATATGAGGACAGTGTCTCAAGCTAATTTTAAGCTTCCGTTGCAGCCGTATTCCACGTAGTGCGTGGGGCTTTCCTTAAATTTCCTTAGGGACATCCATAACCCCAGCTTCCGAAACTACTCAACATCAAATTGTTTCATGACTTCATTAGCTGCTGCATACTTCGTGATGCGTATGACAGTTCGACTTCTAGTCTCTGACACTGCACAGTTGAGTGTAGC